TTCATTTTTGTCATTATCATTCATCATCATTGTCGTCATCATTCATCATAAACATTATTCTGTTCTACCAATCTTACGGCCACAACCATAATGCCATTCCTTTTTTCATTTCAACATATGATGATTCATTTTAACGGTAATTGATAGGGATTCACAAAACTATGATAATAAATTAAGACGCTAAAAGGCATTTGAATAATTTATCAATCTAATTAGATAAACGGCATTCGTTACATCGCTTCTAACGTTTTTAATTTCTTCATAACAACGCGAATATGGGAAATTTTATGAAAAAATATTTCAGATGAATAACTATTTCGTCAGACGAAACGATGTTTGAACATGATTCAGTTATACAAAGTCGCAATGTTGAAGAGTTACAAAAGACTTTTTCGTTTGCGTCATCATTCCACATTAACATCGTCATTATCATTCACTATCCTCCTCCTCATCATCATCATCATTATCATCATCATCATCATCATTCTTCTCATCATCATTCTTTTCATCATCATCCTACTCCTCATCATCATCATCCTTTTCATCGTCATCATCGTCATCATTATAATCACCATAACCATCATTAACATGAACATAAAAAATAAATTCAAGCAGTCAACTTTTTTTCAGGACTTACATTTTTGGCAGATGTATCTGAGTTTGTAGTTGGAGGGGACGATCCTCAACCGCCACCCTTCCAAGCCATGCCCGTGCGATATCGCCAGATAATGCAGGCCCTTCTGGGGTAGGGTACGTCGTTTCAGGGCAGACACATTTACTGGGGAAAAGTTAAATTTTATGTTTTTTTTTTTTATTTGAAATAACAATAATACATTAGTATGCTTGCATTTTAGAAATTGCGTTATATAAATATGTGTGATTTGTTGATTAATTGATTGATTGAATGATTGATTGATTAATTGATTGATTGGATGATTGATTTATTGGTTTATATATAGATTTATTTAATTATTGATTGATTGTTTGTTTGATCGATTAAATTATTAAATTTCAACTTTACATATCAAAAAATAATTTAATATTGTCAAAAGTTTAATAATACAATACAAACACATAACACGTATTTTTCAGTTAAAATAAATTAATCAAACAGACGCGCAAATTTATAAAGTTCAACTCACGAAAACCCCAGCACACGCACACGTAGCCGAAGTAATAACTCCATAGTGGATAACTTAGCGAAGTTCGCGAATGCACTGGAGGCATAAATATCAGAGCAATTACATATAATGAATATTATATCAGGTCAACCACTTAAAGCAAACAAGTGCCTACCAACATTTCCGTCATAAAGTTATTGAGTAAGTCTTCTTTTTTTTAAACAAAAAACGTAATAAACATCTAACAGCATGGATAAGTAACT